CCCAAACATACTCAATTGTCAAACACTTTAAAATCCTTATTCTTCTTTTCAGCGTGAGTGTATCTCTATCCATGTTGGTCAAGCTGGTGTCCAGATGGGCAATGCTTGTTGGGAGTTGTACTGTTTAGAACATGGTATCCAACCTGATGGTCAGATGCCTTCTGATAAAACTATTGGAGGTGGAGATGATTCCTTCAACACTTTCTTCAGTGAGACAGGAGCTGGTAAACATGTGCCAAGAGCTGTTTTTGTTGATCTGGAACCAACAGTTGTAGATGAAGTCCGAACTGGTACTTACCGTCAACTCTTCCATCCTGAACAACTCATCACTGGTAAAGAAGATGCTGCCAATAATTATGCCCGAGGTCACTACACTGTGGGTAAAGAGCTCATTGATTTGGTTCTCGACAGAACCAGGAAGCTGGCTGATCAATGTACTGGTCTTCAAGGATTTCTCATCTTCCACAGTTTTGGTGGAGGAACCGGATCTGGTTTCTCTTCCTTGTTGATGGAAAGATTGAGTGTGGACTATGGCAAGAAATCCAAGTTGGAGTTTGCTGTTTATCCTGCTCCACAAATATCAACTGCTGTGGTAGAACCTTACAACTCTATCCTTACAACCCATACCACATTGGAACATTCCGATTGTGCCTTCATGGTGGATAACGAGGCTATCTATGATATATGTCGACGAAATCTCGACATTGAAAGACCAACCTACACCAACTTGAACCGATTGATTGGTCTAATCGTCAGCTCCATCACTGCTTCACTTCGATTTGATGGTGCCTTGAATGTCGATCTTACTGAGTTCCAGACCAACTTGGTACCCTACCCACGTATTCATTTCCCATTGGCTACCTATGCACCTGTCATTTCCGCCGAGAAAGCTTACCATGAACAACTTTCTGTAGCTGAAATCACCAACGCTTGTTTCGAACCAGCCAATCAGATGGTCAAATGTGATCCTCGTCATGGTAAATACATGGCTTGCTGTATGTTGTACCGAGGTGATGTTGTTCCCAAGGATGTTAATGCTGCTATTGCCACCATCAAGACCAAGAGAACCATCCAATTCGTCGACTGGTGTCCAACTGGTTTCAAAGTGGGTATTAACTACCAACCACCAACTGTTGTACCAGGAGGCGATTTAGCCAAGGTCCAGAGAGCTGTTTGTATGTTGAGTAACACGACTGCTATTGCTGAAGCTTGGGCTCGTCTTGATCATAAATTTGATCTGATGTACGCCAAGAGAGCTTTCGTTCACTGGTATGTTGGTGAAGGTATGGAAGAAGGTGAATTCTCTGAAGCTAGAGAAGATTTAGCTGCTCTAGAGAAAGATTATGAAGAAGTTGGAGTTGATTCTGTTGAAGGTGAAGGAGAAGAAGGAGAGGGAGAAGAATATTAATAAGAACACTGTTTTTATTAAAGAATAAATTATAATTTATACCTGAAAATGTCTTGTCTTATCCTACAGATGGGCTAATGAAGACGGCAACGTCATGCAGGGTACAATGAGGGAAATTTTGCCAGGACTAGACGCTTTTTCCATGTCAGTCCCTCTCACCTGCATCACTGACAGGAGGAAACCGGGTTTAAAAATCCGAAGGTGTTATCTCGATCTATGCCGGGATTGAACCCTGGACCTTCAGAATAGCGAACAGCCGTCTAACTTACCCCCACGATGCCAAGGTAAGTACCACAATAGATAGTAAGACGACCAGTGTGATAAAAATAAGTTTATTCTGTCCAGTAATCATACCAAACATGATAAATAATATAATAATAATAATAATATTGATGGTAATAGTAGTTATATTAGAGAGAATGGTTAAACATTGAAACTAGGATTCAGTCAGACAATCATTCTTATCAAATTAACATTGTAGGGTGGCCACACATACTAAACTACGTGTAAATAACACACACGAACGTGTCGACTTCGCCAATATTTCAACAAAGCCTAAAAACATTTTCAAAGGTTTAGAAATGGCTTTCATTGTGATTTACAAGCTTTGTTGAAACTTTGGCCTTTTTAAGTTATTTAGTCTAAGAAGAAATTCAAAATAGTTGTGAACTACATTCGTGTTTGTTTTTTCAACATAACAACCACACTTATTTTCGTATGGGTGGCCACATTCACCTCTCATGACGTATGCCAAGAGACTACAATTTACCCAAATCGGCCGTTTTCAAGAGGTGGACGCTATCTCAAGGTAACTGTTAACTAAAGGTGGTTGTTTTCTATAACTTTCTATTTCCAGAGGAAGTCGTTTACTAAGGGTGACTGTAGCCTACATCGCTTACAAGAGGCGGCCTTTACTACGGGTGGTCGCTTTCTCGAGGTTTTCAGCAAGAAGCAAGAGAAATATATTTCATCAATTTATGTAAAAGTTTTGACTGAAACTTTTATCAGATTAACCTAAAATCATCCTGGTCCATTCACATCTAACGAGAAAAATGTTATGAAATATTTACATTATGAAATATTGCCCTCAAATTATTCTCCATGATATATCAACACGTAATGAATAATCAAAATTAAATTTTAGATTTATATAACAGGAGCCTTATTCTAGACAACTTAACTACGATAAAATCTAGATTTTAGGAAATACAGTTATCTGATTGGATAAAAGAACTTAATTTATAATCAATTATAGTGATTGACCAATCAGATGACTGGAACACTAATATCATCTTAAGTTAATTTTTGGCGAATAAGACTCTAAGACTGTTATACGAAAGTTATAGAAGCCCTATTTAGATAAAACAGTGTCGAGAAGAATAATTTCACACAAGATTTCGGAACCGTTAAATCAAAATATATTCATGACTCTACACAATCTTTCAGAAAGAAATAAAGAAATAGAGTTTTATATTCTTACTTCATGTACATTACTGAAATAAAATGTTGCATCCAATCGTGCGGCCAAAAGGATACAAGAGAATGTACTATTCTGGTACAAACTTCCTGGCTACACTGATATTCAAAAATAGCGAATTTATATACCATATATTTGCGTTTATAATGCGCAGCGTTTAGCCCTTGAACAATAATATTTTCTACAGTGACAAAGAATTTTTGCCGATTTACTCAAGAAGAGAAAAGGTGCGCATTCTAATTGGTACGCACTATATTCCCAGTTTTACGGTATTAAAATTGGTTCCCTCATGAAAGAATGCATATTTACACTAGGGTTTAAATGGCAGTGACTTAATTCACAAATTCTATTTTACAGAATTTACAGAAGTTTAATATTCCATGATTTGAACCAACAACTAAACAGGAAATGTTTATTAACATCGTTTATTCCATGACCAAGAATATATACCACAGGATCATAAAGTACCTGAGTTCTTATTCTTGTAAAACCATTACCAAGAGGTTTGACAAAGGACCAGCTGGTTTACAGAATATAAGAGAACTTGAGCTGTTATCCTTCTGAAATCATTACCAACTATCGAAGCCGTTTGGCCAAGGAACAGCTGGTAGACAGTATCCTTAAGAATTCAAGTAGTTATCCCTACTAAAAGGATTATTACCAAGAGTTCCTACAAAGGTTCAACTGGTAGACAGAATTTAAGAAAACCAATTTTTTTAATATTCGTGTAAAATCCTCGTTTCATAATTATTTTCTATCCTGTTTTTGAGGTAATGACAAGATCTCGAACAAGAGAAAATATTGCGACAGGGTTAACCTATTTAACTTTCAGGGGGAGATCATATATATACATAAAAATAAATATACCTCTACATACAGATAAAATAAAACATGCTAGGACTTCATCTAGACTGGATTTAATATGGCAGCTACCTAACACCCCTCTTCTTGTTATGGACTTGTCTACACTCAGCAGTGCACATGCATATTTCTAAAGTTTATAAAACGAAGTTCATAACAAAATGGTGCATTACATTTTAGTTCTGGAAAGGAAACAGAATGAAATTTTACGGCCTACTTATCTGTTCTGATTGACCCCTTATACAGAGGTTTTCAATTGTTTGTTTGCTCTATTATATCCAGTCTAGATGAAGATAAAATCAAACATCTTAAAAACCCTTCAACATTAAAAACATTTCTGACGAACTATCCCAATAAGCTGGCCAAGAATTATACTGAAAAAAAAATCAGAAGAGTTTTTACATCCAACATTTCACCCTATGGGCAAATAAATACAGCAAATATGCTGGGTACAATGAAGGAAATTTTGCCAGGACAGCGGCATTAGCCTACTCTTTTTCGATTTCCAACTGTCAAGGGATTTTAAACGTGCACAGCCTGTAGCACACGGTTTCCCTTTAAATCGGAAGAAGAATTCGTTTGAAATGAAATTAAATGAATGGAGTTTAATGTCCTACTGTTCTGCACAGAATTCATTTAAAGTGATGATCGTTTTTCTTTTAATACAACAGCCAGATGAAGGATCAAATCCAACAAAACACATCAAGTTTGAATAGGATTTAAACAATATATAGAAATTTTAAAATATTGGATGATGATAAATTTACAATGAAATAAACACAGGATTGACTCAGACTAAAAATATACATCTTATAACATCACTCACTCATTACTAGTCTTAACTTATAAAAACCTGAAACATCTTCACTTAACATCTAGTCCCAACATTCTACACTCTTCAGTCTTGGCTATTCAGATATTCTCAACTTTCAAAACCATATCTCTGTTTAATATCTTATCTCAACTTTCAAAACCTTTCACTATATAGCCTGGTGGTTTATTTTCACTAACAATCTTATCAGCTTTAAAAACCTGGAATAGTTTCGCTAAAAATCTTTTCTGCTTTCAAAACTTGGAATTGCTCTCATGTAGGCATTGCCTATTTCAACGATCAGTGATCAGATCCAGGTCTAAATCTAATTGGTCAATCAGATCTCAGTGAATATACTGTCCAATCAGAGCTCAGCAATTAAAACTATCATTAACTTCACTATTCAAACAACTATAATTATCAATTCAGAATTCTTAACCCTTATGATTTTAGGTGCTATCTGCCGTTCTTGCTTTAGGTGCGCCTACTACCACAAGTCCACAATACCATCATATAGTAATATTTTCACTTGATTCTAACTGACTAACACAAGCTCTATACAGATAAATAAAATATGGATATTGAAGAGTTCCCCAGTCTAAACTGCTGCCGTCAATAAGCTAGCATCAACATCATTTCAAGGCTATATCTGAGCCCGAAGTCTGAATTCTGAATTCAGTTTCAACTCGAACCAATATTTCACAGTCTTGTTTCCAATGTTCCTGTTTGAATTTACGTTTGACATGTTAGCACAAAAGCCATAAAATAGTTCCTTGTCCAAAACTATCTGGTTACCTGTGGTCTCAATTCATACCACATCCAAAATAATTGTTTTCAACATGTCTGCCTGTTACAAGCTAGCTCAAATGCTAGATCAAAGCTCTGTCTAGCTAGCCCTGAAATCATTCGAATTCAAAATTATTATTTCCTCAATGACAGCTAAGTCCCACATTCAGGGTCCTTTCTAGCTATCGTCAATCTTTCTGGCAATGTATCATTTATTTAGATTCAAAATTACTGTGTCCTTGCCGATTTCCAGGTAAACACAGATGCCAGCTATTTCCAGATTCCAAGATCCAGGGCCAGCTAGTTCTTGTCATTCTCTAGTCGTTATATCGCTGCCAGATAGCTAGTACATCGTTCTCACTCTAAGACAAATAGCACTGTCAGTAAATATCAACTTTCATACTGTCTATTTACAATATTTAACAGGATTCCAACACCTCTATCACTCGCGCTATAGACTTCCCTCCTGTATTACCTATAGCAATCTGAAAATATTAATAACATTAACATTTACTATAGCAATAATCAAATAGGTTAAACGGATTGTAAATAGGTCTGCTAGACAATTTGTGTATTGTGGACACATTGATTTACAACATTCCAATTTTCAATCAGACGTCTGTGGTTCTTGCAATTCCATTAAAACTAACATTTATAATATCACTATTGCAAATGTCCTTAGATATTATTAGTAGCTTTTGATGTCACAAATCCTTTATAATATAAAATTCAAAGAATGTAAAAATGTCCAATTGACAACAGCCATTAAAGAAAGGAGACTGGGAAAATGGTCTATAATGTAAACCCTATCAATATAGAAAATACTTACTGTTAAATTCATAAAACCAAGGAATTTTTTCAGAGTTTTAATCATGGCTTCGAAACTCTGATTTGGTAGATAGAATTTAACGGAATCAACGTAATCTTTATTATCGCGTATTAAACAACCTAATAATAAGGCGATGTACGAGGCTACTATACTGTTCTCCATGTGTTTTCCTGCCTTATGTAATGCTGAAATATACAATATGTTGTTCGTGTTACATGCTTAATTTTACAATATCACCTTTTATCTCTGAGTGGTATTGAGAATTGTTATTGAAACTTGCTTACTCTTTTCAAAACACCTGATGGTACTTCTCGTTGGAGGAGTCCACTACTAAACAATTGCTACCCTGACTTAGTGTAACTCATAACTGAATAGGTTGAGCTGTAGCACAGTCAGTTAGGGCGTTAGAATCTATTCATTTGTTTAAAATTTTACCTTTTGTAAATGTTTCATCATCATCCAACGGAGAAGGATCTTCCTTTTCATTGGTTGATTCCTCATTTGACTGTGCTGCATTGGCTGCCTTGATAGATTCTGCTGACTTAACGATCCACTGAACCCCGGTCTCCGTTTCCTCCCACTCGCCAGATTTATTATGGGCTGAGGCCTCGTCTTTCTGTGTTTCTGTGGGAGCAGGGGTACTTCCCTCTCCCTCTTCTTCTTTATCCTCCATCTGTCTGGCTGCCTCCTCCCTTTCACAGAATAACTGTAAAAAGATCAATCAGTTTTATTATTATGATGTCTTCAAAAGCTAGCTACAGTCTAGACATATTGGTCACAATATTTGTAATGTTTTTGACTACTGATGATTGCAACTCAAAAAAAGAGTAATTTTGGCTTTGATAGCATGTTGCACTTTTCTCACAGCTTGTTTGATAGTAACATCTTATACAGTTAATCAATGCAGTTAATTAAACGATGCAAATAGACGTCATAAATGAAAGGGTACCCGAAAAAAGATACAAACCCTTATTATAATCCCTTTTAGAATTCTGTCTTGGTTTTAAATATTTTAACAACATGAAAGTAATCTTACCTCTACCAAACAGCTAATACCCGTCTTTATAATAGTCTGATCATCTTGTAAACAACTGACTTCACTGTCTATTAATATCTGTCTATTCATTTCACTATGTTCTACTAGATTGATTAATAATCCTAAACTCTGTAATCAAATAATAAACAGAGTTATACATCCTACTGTACTACTACTAATAAAATGACATGGAGTTTTACACCCCAACTTTCTTTTACTACTGATTGGGTCAATGGAGATCCACAGCACCCAGCGGTATGCAATGAGGGTAAAATTTGCAAGACAGCAGTAAAACAATAAAACATTTAAAAGTTTTGAGGAATCTTTGTAGTTGACAGCTTGTAGCACACAGGATCTTAATTTATTATGCGAACCACATAACACTTTACCCCGGGCAACTCATGGGGGGGCCATAAAACTGTTAAAGGGACTCACATCACCAGGGATTAAAGAACTAAACAATAAAAACTTTGAGTGGGGGGAAGAGGGCCAGCCGTAGCCATGACTCCCCTATGGCCCTCCCCAGAAACAGCATTGGAAAAATCAGAAGATAATATCTCAACCAATGACAGGTGGAAGTCAGGTATCAATAATAAAGTTGAAAGAATAAAACTATCTTACCAGTACTAATAAGTCGAATTTTTGTTCTTGAGGTATAAATTGTGTGATACTGAGTATACATTCTAGTACAATATTAATAACACATTCCTGGGCTCCTACTTTAGCACTACCAACATCTGAAATATAACACGTATAAAATATAGATATAATTCATTTATTGAGAATATAAATACTGATTTATCACGTAATCATCCTCATAATATTTTAGAAATAAAAGATGGAACCACTGCAGTTAAATTGATTTGATTCTAAATACATCTGGAGAACAGAAAAATGAATGCAGATTGATTTCAATATGTTTTCTTTAAAAAGTATTGTCCTAACAGAAATATTTTGAAACAAAGACTGAACTAGAGGTTCACCAAATCCAAGAATCCAACAAATCTATCCCAATGCATGAAAAATAAGGACAAAAATCATCAAATCACTTCCAAGTTGTTATAAAGCCCTTCTGAGGATTCAAATTTCACAGAAATTAAAAAAAGACATACCGTTATCATGAGTAACGTTTAACAAAACTCGTAACACGGCCAACATACAATTAAACGTAATCCATCCAATTGATTCTTTTACTTCTTTATTTTCTTCTGGGTCCTCGGTTACAGGGTAGCTGGGTAGACATTGTACACAACCCTTCAGAGCACTGAAATTATAGAGAACATTGTACACAACCCTTCAGAGCACTGAAAGAATAGAAAACATTGTACACAACCCTTCAGAGCACTGAAATAATAGAAAACATTGTACACAACCCTTCAGAGCACTGAAATTATAGAAAACATTGTACACAACCCTTCAGAGCACTGAAATTATAGAGAACATTGTACACAACCCTTCAGAGCACTGAAATAATAGAAAACATTGTACACAACCCTTCAGAGCACTGAAATTATAGAGAACATTGTATACAACCCTTCAGAGCACTGAAATAATAGAGAACATTGTATACAACCCTTCAGAGCACTGAAATAATAGAAAACATTGTACACAACCCTTCATAGCACTGAAATTATAGAGAACATTGTATACAACCCTTCAGAGCACTGAAATTATAGAGAACATTGTACACAACCCTTCAGAGCACTGAAATTATAGAGAACATTGTACACAACCCTTCAGAGCACTGAAATAATAGAGAACATTGTATACAACCCTTCAGAGCACTGAAATAATAGAGAACATTGTACACAACCCTTCAGAGCACTGAAATTATAGAGAACATTGTACACAACCCTTCAGAGCACTGAAATTATAGAAAACATTGTACACAACCCTTCAGAGCACTGAAATTATAGAGAACATTGTACACAACCCTTCAGAGCACTGAAATAATAGAGAACATTGTATACAACCCTTCAGAGCACTGAAATAATAGATGACATTGTACACAACCCTTCAGAGGACTGAAATTATAGAGAACATTGTACACAACCCTCAGAGCACTGAAATAATAGAGAGCATTGTACACAACCCTTCAGAGCACTGAAATTATAGAGAACATTGTACACAACCCTTCAGAGCACTGAAATTATAGAGAACATTGTACACAACCCTTCAGAGCACTGAAATAATAGAGAACATTGTACACAACCCTTCAGAGCACTGACATTATAGAGAACATTGTACACAACCCTTCAAAGCACTGAAATTATAGAAAACATTGTACACAACCCTTCAGAGCACTGAAAGAATAGAAAACATTGTACACAACCCTTCAGAGCACTGAAAGAATAGAAAACATTGTACACAACCCTTCAGAGCACTGAAAGAATAGAAAACATTGTACACAATCCTTCAGAGCACTGAAATTATAGAGAACATTGTCTTCACATCTGAACTTTTACAACTTGGGGTAAGAAAGTTCACCAAGTACAGCAGAATCAACTAGCCTTTTCTTTCTCTATTTTAACTGCTAGAGTTAACAATGGAGAATTTTGTTAGGAGATAACCTTAAACTACCATGCCACTGTTTTGTTTCTCCAACTGTTGAGAGAAATCTTAAATAATTAAGCCTTTAAAATACAGGGCTTCAATAAGAACCTACAAGTTATGCAAATGACAAATTGGAATAAATTAACAAGTTTTCATTGATATATTGCCAGCAAGAAAAAAACAACGCAAATCTATATCTAGGTTGAATAATGACTAAGATATGAAAACAATGGTAGGCCTACTATTTACAGATAAGTTGCCCGAAGGCAGACAGGGAGAAAGACTTGATATTCTGCCTCCAGGCTGTCTGAAATGCCATCCTAATATTGCAAGAATTCATAAGAACACAATATCTGTGTCAAGGACTTTGAGAGAATAACAAATATATATTGAGTACAATTTGTATTATAATAGAAACAATTCTAAACTTACCCACATAACGAACTAATTAATAAAGCATTTTTATAATCTATTAAATAGCTCTGATTATCTGTATTCATGTAGGTTATCTGGAAGTATTAAATTGGAGTTTTACACCCTACTGATCTGTACATTATTAGGCTATTGAAATACAGGGTTATCTCTTCAATATTAGAAATACGTGCAAAATTCATGAATGACAAGCTTTAGGTCAAAATTAGGACTTTATTTTAGTCTCTATAACACTGAGCCAAATGGAGTTCAAAACTTATCTCAATAAATTAGCTGGGAAAATCTGTCACTTCTACCCTACATTGTTATTGTAACTGATTTTAACTGACTTACGTTTTCTAAGACACGAAGACACCTGTCTAATTTTTTCATAATGGGTAAAGTTTTACTGGAATCCATCAGCAGTACTGATTCAGCACATTTAGAACAGGATGCAACTAGAATACAGAGAGGAAACATTCATAAACTATTATTTCTTTCTTGAAAGGGTTAAAATTTAGGTGAAAAAACCTAAAACATTTGAGCTACCATTTAAAATCAATTCTTGCTTAAAACAATCTGTTTAGCATTTGTCACTTTCACTTTGATTCACACCTCTTCTTATAGCAACACCTCTTCTTATAGCAACACCTCTTCTTATAGCAACACCTCTTCTTATAGCAACACCTCTTCTTATAGCAACACCTCTTCTTATAGCAACACCTCTTCTTATAGCAACACCTCTTCTTATAGCAACACCTCTTCTTATAGCAACACCTCTTCTTATAGCAACACCTCTTCTTATAGCAACACCTCTTCTTATAGCAAAAAATTTCCACGCCACAAGCAAAGCTTCACATAGTTGCAATTTGTTTGGTTCATATCTTTTAACCCATAAGCAAATTCAAAGTAAAAGTTTATATCATTTTTCTGGCAACGTTCCCTTTTAAAATATTGCAGGAATAATATAAAGACTTACTAGTATCAACAATATGATCTAAAGCTCCCTGAGATCGTAGTTCTTCTTTAAACCATTCTCCAGCACGACGTGAAGTTAAACTCAATAATGATTCCATAGCTAAATTACCAGTCTGTTAAAAATCAAAATTATATTTTGTTCAAATATCAGAAATTAAAGAGATACAAAAGAGGTGTCCCAATCCCCAAAATTCTTTTCTAAATAGATTTCTGTTAGTAATAATTATTTTAACTTAAAATATGACAAGAACATATATCATTAACCTATCAAATGTAACTTTTGCATCTGTAACTGTTTCTCACAAAGTCTTATAATCAAATACAGGAGAAATAATCAAAATAAAGAACAGAAACTTCAGTGAAAAGAGGCACTGATTATTAGACAGTGAAAATTGAATTCTACTTACAGTTAAACAGTCTAAATCCAGTGTTTTCGCGAATCCAGCTTTACGTAACTGTTCACACAACTGTTTGACTTTAAATTTATTTTTTTCTAATTCTTTCTTCGTTGATTGATCATATTGTTTCTCTCGTTCCTTGTCACTATCCACCTCTAGTAATCGTAACATTAGATTTAAACTTTCTGTGTCTAAATCCATATTTAACCTATCTTGACTTAACATAAACATTATAGTAGCTGTACATAGTGACATACTCTGAAATACATCAATGTTTTGTGTCATATATTTTTATATAGAATGGTCCAGAAGACTCTTCATTTCAAGATTTATCATAAAAATATCAAAGCTAAAACCATAATAATTTGATCTTACATTAACATAGTACATCTCTTTAATAAATTATCGTTTTATGGGTTGGTTTGAAATACCAGCAGTTTCATATATTCCTTACCAAAAAATATAATGTTTTTAAATATTTTTACTGTCATTTTGCCTCTTTAAATCAAAGGAATGTTGGCACCATTTTAAGCACATATTGCCCCAAACCCTTTTTTATTATGTTGAATGACCATAGAATAGGTTATTAAAAAAGTTAAAACTTACAGGATCTGTACAAGCATCATGTAACATAGTAAATATTCTAGTCACTGTACCGTGAGCTCGAAGATGCATCCTGAAAGCTGGTAGTTTACATTTCTGAGCCAGCTGAATACAACTGAAAAATACACAAAATTATTAACATTGTGTTATTAATTTGCTTTTATAATTTCCATTTAACCTGTTACCACTTTAACAGTTGTCTGAAATGGTATATCTTGTTAATTATACTTGTTGGTGTTATACAATATGGCCTACTATGAGACATTTGTTTTGATATGAACCAGCATCCAAAATTCCACATCCAATTTTGGCCAAGTACCTGAAGAATGGTTTTAACAAGTCCTTGCTAGTGGGCCAATAATTCTCTTTCTACCTTCTAATATTTCTTATAACATAATAACAAGAGTCTGACAAGTTAAAACATTAAAACTGGTTGCAATCAGCGAGACACCTTGCTATATCCTTCCTTCTGCAGCTCAATCTAGTCCTGTAGCTATAATATAAATAAACCTACCTGATACATCTAATAGAAGTAGGTTCAGTATTTTTTAAACTGTCTAGTAAATATTCCACATCATCAGCAAATTCCTGGGTTTCTCCAGATTCCTGCATCTCGAACGATTCTTTTACATTTCGTACCACAGTAAATAACTGTAATTAACAAATAGAAAACTGATTCAAAATCATTTCTTTTAGGACAGAAGTTTTAGATAGAAGAGGACACTAATTAAATTTCTCAAGAACCCCGTCTTATAATGGGTTAATTCCCTAAATCTCTTGGCATTGAGCTCGTTTATTGGATCATCTGAAAAACTGGACATCGTATTGCCTTCATCTTTTTGTCTTTTTGCTTTTTATATATCTGTCTCTCCAAACTGTCTCACTGGCTAGGATCAGAGTTAAAAATTCTGGGAATAACTTCACCATTAGCATCAATTTGCACCATTCTATTTTTAGTCGTATATCTGCGTTTTGCAAAACTAAAACTATTTTTAAAGCGTTTATGACATCACTATTGCAAACATCCTAGGGCTGCAACGATTCACCGTTGAATCGATGAACTGCAATTCATTCCATCTTATCGATGCATTGCAAAAGAAAAAAATAATTGCGATACATCGGCCGTCATCATAAATATGATCGCAATAAATCGTATTGTTGAACGAGTATCGTTCAGTGTATCGGATCGCCACTTTAGGAATTGTTGCACCTCTAATACATCCTTACCCTCATTATAAGCCACTTTTACAAATTCTACAATTCTACTGTATTCTCATATCCACCAAAAATTTTTATATTCCTTACCTCTTTATGTTCTTTATTAACTTTCAGTGATGTATAGGCCTCTTCCCCTTCTCTAGCAGGCCAATGAACATTACGTTTCATTTTTAACGAGGGGACATCATTAACTACATCTTCTGCTTTAGCTTTACGTTTACTTGTCTTCCCTACAACACGACTCTGTAATACAATAGAAATAACAACTAAGATGAATAACTCTACTATTAACATTTGTTTAAAGGACACAGGGGTCTTCTGGAAACTTCATGAAGAATGAATCAAGATTTTAAGAAAAAGACTGGATAATAAATCAAAATTTATAATCAATATTAGTGATTGACCAATCAGATGACAAAATTATCTAAAGCAGAAGGCCTCGGTGTGAATATTCAATCTAAAAATTCCGAAAAAATCAAGGTATGTCATAATAACAGGAATCATAAAACCTTGTTACAGGGTTCTATTAAATAGATTTTGTTTTCAAGGATAGTAATTATGTAAATTATGAGAGCAAACACTATTGGTTTCATCATATATCATATATAACACAGCTTGAAACAATGGTAATATAATATTTTTTTCTATTTATATATCGCTCTACAACTGATGTATCAGGCACTAAAAACAGTGAGAAATTTTTGTTATCGTAATTTACATAATATATTTGCTTTTACATAAATCAGTAAACCCAACAGGCTGTTACACAATGCATATTTTAATATTTCAATGAATATTTGATGTAAATACGAGATTTAAAGGTTGTCTTTCAGGACTAAATGGAACGGAACACTGTTTTAAAACACAAGTACGGTATATTTGAATTCTTCGTTAGAAACACTAATTAATGAATTAAACAATAAGTTTAAATAAGAACAATATGGGAACCAATCTTTACTTTACACATCACAGGTGTATAAGATGTACTTATAAGCTTACCTGTATTACTTCCGGTGATAGTTCATCACTGTGCCAAGATCTAGCATTATAAATAGCTTTAGATGGTGACTGAAACAAGGATTGTTAAAAGAGGATATAAAAAGTACCGTCTGCCATCACAACAATGTTTTCAAGATAAATTTTTGACATAGTGAATGAAATGAGCACTGAAAGCTAACATAGCACACAGAGCAACGACTTGAACCATTCCAATTTTCAGTCAGACGTCTGTGGTTCTTGCAATTCCAACTAAGCGTTGTAAGAATGTTGCAAAAATGAAATGAATAGAATCTTATGACATGTCCTACTTTTCTGCATATTGAAGACAATAAGACTATTGCATAGGGCCTTGGATATTATTAGAAGCTTTGCTATAGGGACGTCATAATCACTCAAAAAATTAAGAAACTTTCCACTCATTTCAAATTTCTAAACCTACCTTTTGTATCTGTACTGAGGGTTTCTTTGAATTCCTGGTTTTAAATATTTTTCTGGCTTTAGGCTGATTATCATTGCCATTGGAGGGCGAGTCTACATTATCCAGAGATATAACATCTGAAGCATTGTCTCTGGAATCAGCATCCGATTCCTCCGGATTGGATTTCTGAGAATTATTCCTGGAATCTACACTCATACTATCATTGTCTTTAAGTTCTAGAGTATCTTCTCGTGTCAGAACTGGAGGATCATCTTCTACAGTTTCTTCATTCTTCGTCTCTACATCATCTTCGAACAATTCTTCAGGAGTTTCCACTTTCACTTCATCTTTCGGCGCTCGTGATTTAAAAATTCTGTAACTACTTCGTACTGGTTTCACGACAACATTTTCTACCTCTTGAGACGATACCTCCATCGGTGACTCTTCCTCTTCTTGGGGGTCTGCTACAGGTTCCGGCGGAGGCTCGCTGGCACCGTTTTTAGCTGCCCTAGATCGGAAAATACGATTACCAGGAATTACTGGTTTCAGAGATGAAACTGGAATAGGTTTAGAATTGGTACTTAAATTGATATCTAACTTGGGCTCCAGTGTACTCCCCTCGGTAACTGAAGATGTTTTCGATTCCTGTGAATTATTTTGAGATGAAGCTATGGATGGACTACTTTCTGGAAATTCGCCGTCAGAATCGGCGCCGGATTGTTGACTGGAATTGCTGGATAAAGTTGGATCTACGACTACATTTGGTTTGTACCCTCTCGGAAACTCTCGACCAGGCTGACCAAAGTACTTAGTTTGAACATCGCCCTCTGGTTTGTTCACTACTTTCGGTTTACAAACAACAACCATAGTGGTCTTATCACCACTTTTAAACTGGCTCTTAGAAACTACGTTACTGTGAGCGAAGCTACCCACATCAGACCTCTTATTCTTCTGGCCTTCGTCCCACATTTTCTTAAAATTTTCCAACAACTTTGGATTGTTGTATTTGGAATTACGAACCCTCTTGGGATATTCATAATTGCTCCATCCTGGCATTGTATTGTCTACTTTACGTGTATATGGTTTGACTTCCACCTTTGCTTCTTCTGTTTCAAATGGTCCACTCAATGTGGGTGGGGTGCTATCCAGCTGACTGAATCCAAAAGCATCGTGCTCTGACTCGACCTCTGGTTCAGGTTCTGTAGAAATTTGAGACGTAGTATATGAAGCTATCGAAGATGAGGAATCAAGATTAATAGTCTCTACTGTCTGTTTGATGATACTAGGTGTACGGGTATACGAGTTACGATTAATGACGGCAGTCTGTCGGGAATATGTCTTTATGACGCGTTGATTCGTGAAAGTGACAACTGGTTCTTCGTCCAGATCATCGTCTGAGTTTTCAGGGACTTCGAAGTTATCTTCCGATAGTACATCAGGGCTGGGCGTCTCTTCTGCCTTCACAGCAATCCTTGTAGCTGGTAATTTGGTTGACGCTGATGCAGCTGCAGCTCGTTTCATCGCAGATTTTCCTTTCCGTGGAGAATCTTCATCAAAACTAAAAATATCATCAGATTCAGTTTCTATTTTTGGGGTCACAGATTTGCGTGGAGTAGATGATTTCGATGATGATGCTGAGCTTGGTGATGATTTCTTACGTGGACTCTCTCTCACGGCTATAAAATTAGTTTTACCCCATTTGGTACTGGTAGAAGCAGCTTTAATGGGCGCCGGTTTGTTACTGATCAAATCATCAAAGGCACGACTAGCTGGACTTTCTTTACCTCGACCGTACGTACGGTTTGGTCTTCTCATTGTACTACCACTACTCATTTTGATACCTGAAATACAATCAATTTCAAATACAAAAAATGGATAAAAAAGTGTATGTAACAATTGAGAATAAAAACTGAAAAACACTTTTCAGGGATTTCTAAACTACCATCAAGAAAGTCTCAAATCATACCAAAACTGTCCTCGTGAAAAGAGCAAAAAAAGGATGTCTAGAATTTCAAAATAATTTAACTTATAAAGACTGCATTTAGAATTCTGTTCCACTCATCACAAGAAGCTGTAAAACACAATCTGATAAAGTACTTACTATTTATTACTACAGGAATATAATCAAACAAATTCCACCAGTGACTATAAAACAACGACCATTTTAACTCCCTTCACATAGGGTGTTGATGAGTTTTTTCTTTTTCGGATGTCAGTTGGTGATTGGTTTCAATTTATATGAATAATATCTGAAACTAAAAAAAAATTAGGGTCATTCTCTGTCTTCACCTACCCTAAAACAGGCATAAAAAAAATCTACTTATAACTTTCAAATACTGGTACTCATCTTGTTCTGATTTATCATATATACAATTTGGGAATTGGCTTAGGAATAATTTCCTTATTGGAATCAGACATATGCCACATTGAGATTTGATAGAAAGACATATGTCAAAATTATGAAAAATAAGTTGAAGGTGATCCATAAAAAGCAGACTCCAACTCAAAAGTTTCAACAATATAAATTCATCCTATCGTTTCAACCTTCATATTCATCTTATATCTCATATCTCTTATATCTAGTTTTAAATTGAGTACCGGTAACGTTAGCCAAAAATCCGGAAAATTTCCTGTGTAGGCCCAATCTCAAAAAACAACAACCCAATCCAGTGAATAAAAATACAACCCTTCATCATATTCACTTCTACAACACAACACATTCAAATAAATGAGAAGCATTATTTGAAAACTATCAAATACACAAATGTCGACAACTTGAACCTTGGCTGCCATCATCATAGCCCAAGCTTCTCTTGTTTACGATTTGATTTTGACATTTCTTGTGCCTCTTATGACAAAATCGGGACGAAGATTTGCATTCAAATTATCCCCTGATCCCAGTTCTTTGCCACACAGGTGGTTTTGAAGAAATCGCACCATACACAGTACACTTACCGTTGAATTTTTAGCAAAACAAAATATTTAGCTTCTTGTTCACCGCCATTTTCTTTCCAGAATAGAGTTTTTCTTTCACGGCGCAGGCGCACTGGCCTACAACTATACAGAACCAGCTGCATATTTCAAGTCTTGTTTTCGTATTTCTCAGGGGAGGCAACTTCCTATCTTTCTAACTCATTGTCTCCCTTTGACCACAAATAAAACAGCTTTAAAAAAGTTTTGTTTCTTTAAGAATATGACCAACTGACAGTTTCCACAATACAACAAAGTGTTATTTTTTGTCAGATGTTGGCCAGCTACAATCAGAAAAATTTGATGCCTTGAGATAAATTAAAAGTGGTTACTGAGAACGTCCCAAAGTAGGCCTGTTATATTAAGTCATATACAGTGGACGCATATTGTTCGCAATGAATAGGAATTGAAAGTTGAGTATCAGTCCGCAGTGAGGGGAATTTTTCCACAACAGAAGCATTATCGCTTAGCAAGAATTTCATTGTGGCCAAGAAAAAGTTCTTGTCCCTTTATCGTGTCAGATTTTGACATTATATTAGGTATTAGGAGGTGAAAGCCGACACCAGCAAGCTTTCGGAAGCACTGGCACAGGCATCAGAAATTTTCTTATCACGAGGAGGATTTGAACCTATGGCACCCAATCGCCTAGCAGACGACAATCCAACTCGCTACTGACTGAGCTATTCCACTGCCACATTAGGATTACTGGCAAGAATTTTTTCTGCACGAACCAGGCTCAGGTGCACACTATTAAAGGTTATCTCCTTGAAAGAGAAGGCGTTTAAGTTGTTTTTATATTTTTACAAATTTGTATTAATCAGTATAATGATAGGTTTTAATTGACAATGAATAATAATACATAACAAAATATAACTGAAGATATTAGAAAAGGGGAGCCTACTTAAAATGTAGATCAGAACCCTTCACAAGTACGTTTCAAAATGTAATGTTTGAAAGAAAGAGAGAAACCGCTATATTTCACAAGGATAACAGTAAAGGATCCTTTCTACCAGATGATTCTTGGCCAAACCTCTTGGCATTGATCTTTCTCAGATAATTCGTACCCATTTACAACTGGGTCGACTGGAATTATGAGTGAAGATGACTTACTCAAGGTCACCGGACTTTCACATGCTGATCAAGATCTAAACCCACAGCAGCCATTCGCTCGACTTAATCAAGAAAATGACGTCACGTTAAGAACCAACCCTCTAACCAACTGTGCTATAGATTAACACACATTTAAAAAAATAATCTGACAAATACAATTTACAAATAAACTCTGGTGATTATAATTTGTGCAAAATATGCAAAATATGGAACTATATTTCTATTACTCAGAAAAAACTTTCTTTAATATAAACCTCAATTGCACAATATCAAGCTATCACAAACTACACAGTTATATTATTAGATAGGAACTTATAAGTACGAAGCTCGTAATACCTTGATATTGTGAAGATGTATAAACATTAACATATACATTGATTAGCTGTAGTACAAATATTGTTTAATCACATACAATTTTAGCAAGATTTCACATAATTAGAAAAAATAATAAACAACCATCAAAAATAAACAATTATATATTAACAAACATATAACCATCAAAGCAACTGTTTAAATCATAAGAAGACAACAGACATATACAAAATAAAAAAATAATAGGCAAATAGCCGATAACAACGTAGATCCCCAACAGCAATAAGAGCTAACCATGGACACTCCAAACATACAAACACAAATAGTTCAAATATGTCACTCAGCGATTGGGTTTTTCAACTTGGCACCCAAGAAAAGCAAGTTGTACCACAAGAAAGCCAGGATACAAACACATATGCTACGTAATGATTTTGAAAAGTTTTGCAAACATAACCCTGGGCTGATACATGAAATAACATACATGTAATCATTACCACATACAAATCTAGAGTAGAGCTGGTAAATTTATACCAATGAATGTCAGGAAAATGTGATATAGATATAACAGTATATCTTATGTATTAAAGTAGGACTGAGGGATATTAAACCACATGAAATATTACCCCAAAAATATGTCGTTAAACAGATATAAATGAGAATAATGTCCAGTTCTACTCTAGGGTAACAAATCAACAGCATAGACAGTAATAGAAGTCTCTGTTTTTAAAAACTTATCATCACAACTTAATCTTACACATGAGAAAATGCAAATTTATGACAAAAATTGTTCACTAGATACATGGCCTTGATCAAGGGAAATGAACATAATCAGGATGAAATTGGAGGATGTAGAATTTTCAGCAATATAACCCCCATGATTATACCAATGATTAAACATAGCTATGGTTGCAGCTACAAACTGGTGTAAGTTTAGAAAAACATAAATATGGAACTAAATTTCAGCCATGTGTATCACTTTCATAAGATAGTCTGGTATCCAGTTCATACACAATTAAATAAAAACAGTTTTATTGGACGAGTAGCAATAGCTATTTATCTAATTTGGAAATATCACCAGTATCATTAATTAAATATAGTACATAAAGGCTGGAGCACGCTTGCCAGTGTTCATTGGTCAATGACAGCCCAACGGCAACATCGGGAGTGAAGGGAGATATCTGGCATGTTTGATTGCAAGACGTCCTGACATGCCTCGTCGACAAGTGTGCAGGTGTTCCCTATTAGTTGTTGCGACCTAGTTAAAGGTCAACCAATAGAATTCTATGTACGTATCACATGCTCACTTCTTGGCGACATTTTGTTTAGGGTATCTCTACCAAAAGCTGATCAAGACAACCTAGTGGCAATGAAAATTAGTAAGTGTGAGCTGACTGTAACCAATTTTCAAATTATTTGCAGACAATCTAGGAGTGATATAGAAAGGAGAAATTATTATTTCAGCTGTCAAAACAAATAACTATGAGAACATATCACTTTAAAGGCCATGGTTCATCATTTTCGTACCTTAGTCTCCAAAATGAGAATTGTTCAGCTAGGTTTATCAGTAATAGTTTCACTGCTAACTGTCAAAATATTCAAGGCCAATATCAACCTCTGAAAATGGCGAAACATGGCCTTTAACTTGTAAGAGATCAAATAAGCATTAAAAAGCGAAAAAATTTGAGATGAAACTCTATTCTATCATTAGACTGGTATAAAAGAATTGAGCTGCCTTGGATAGTTTCAGTAGGATGCTGAAATATACAAAACTATATATTATAGTTAGTCGAAATCACACCTCTTATTAATATCTTCAAAATCATAGTCCTGAAGACTGAAATTAAATGATATTTAACGTCCTACTTTTCTACACCTGATGGGCTAATGAAGACAGGCAATGCCATGCAGTGTGCATTGACAGAAATTATGCCAGGCCAGCCTAATCCAACTTGCAAATTTGCAGATTTTTAACTTTCAAAGCCTGTAGCACACAGGTTTATTGTGCCATCAGAAAAACAAAACATCAGTCGGTCTATAATATTATGGGGAAATATAACTATAGATAAATCCAGTTCCCAAACAAACTGTAGTTTAATCATGCAAGACTTTTACTTTTAAACTTATTTTGTGTCCTAAACTCTTTAAAACAGGAAAATCTGGTAGTCCAAAAATTGGAGATAATTCAAATAACACTAGTATATGGTTTTTAAAAGCCCATTTGATGAGTCTGCATGGAAATTTAACTGATAAACACACGCAAGTCTGCAAAATTTTCTTTTGAAAGAAATATGTTATTGTAATTCATAGCCCTAACTTACAGTAATGGATAAACACTGACCTGAAGAAATACTAATGAATGAATTACTTCCTCTCCCCCACAACTTTGGCAATTTCCTGAGGTTCCACTTTATCAGAAAATATTCCTGGTATGGAATTGCCGAAATATATTTTTGTATTTTTTGATATGGATTCATATTTTGTAAATTCTAAAAATTCTTTTGTAAGTTTTAGCTGAAATATAGAATATATAAAATGTCAGTTCAAAATACAAAATCAGAATCACAATCCATCAACTTACAATTAAGATCACAATATACACAATTTTATAGCAAACTGTTCTTAAATTTATTAGGATAATGAACATCAGCAACACCATGCAGCGGGCAATGAAAGGATTTTGACCATATCTCAACGTTATATTCCTTTCCTTTCAGCAATACCACCATCGAAACCTACAAGATATATTGCTGAAGACATTTATAACCAAAACAAAATAATTAAAAGTAAACTTACTTTATTTGATTCTATTTCTTTTTGTGTTTTATAAAATTCAGCATCAGCCTTGGCTTTAGCTCTCGCTGTATTCGCTGAATCTATAAACGAGATATATTTACAAACAATCAACAGATATATAACAAAAAACACAAGGGGTATATTATGGTATAACTCATTTCTTTAATAACAAAGCACAACGATTCAACACAATTTACACGTGTCGTCATGGTATTAGCCTCTGCCTCTTTGCCCTTGCCCACTTTATTGTTATATCTACTCTCCACTTCTAAATGTCGTTCAAATCTAATCAACAGATATTATAAATTAATCTTATTCCATTTTTGGTATTTGAAGTGAAAAAGGCCATATTTCAATGATCAAGTCTCGAATCATTTCATAATTCTCGGCAGCTTCCTTTAAGGAATAATTCTAACACTTAATTATACATTTCAATATACATTGTGACTAATAGTTCCCCAATTTCACTTTCTATAATCATTTTGAATCTATATTTGATGAAGCTTTTTGGTTTCCATTGGCTTTGTTTCCAAACACATGTAGTCTCAAACGACCAGCCTCTGATATTAGAACTACCAGAAAAATATGACCAAGTGACAATCTGGACATAAAAGAACTTTCACGGAGGACCATTAGGTCTCTGATTAGTCCAAAATTACCTACCTTCAATTTCAGACATCCGTTTCTCAGACTCTTTTTCCATAACTTTCTGTTCCCACTGAATCTTTGCCACTAACGCTACTTTCTCAGCCTCTGTCAACAAGAAAACGCTTGGTTAAGCAAACGTCAAAGCCCTTTAGATAACTAATGTTAGAATTGGAATTTAAGCATTCAATAACAGTTAGGTAACATTAAAGCCCAAAATCTTAAAAATGAAGCAAGCAGATGTAATTTTCCATGCCATAATATAAAGTCACTCACCTATGACAGCTTTTTTTCTCTCTGTTTCTGCCTCTTTTTCAACTAATTTTTGTTTCTGTATAGCTATCAATAACTTTGTTTTTTCTCCTTCCCTAAAAAACGCCAAAAATGTTTGGTTATTCAAGCCCCACTCCTCTAGCATATATTTCTCAAAAGGAAAACTTTTGGTTGAGAAAATTGAGCGAGCATAGATAATAGACAAATAGGATCTTCAGAATTTTAGGGACGAAACAAGAGCCTTCCTTCCACTTACATAGCTTCGTAATTTTTCCTGATGGACTCAGGTATTTTAGGTTTTGTAACTCGAACAGCTTGTACCATTAAACCAGGAGCCATCACGTTTAAATCTAACTGTAACGCTTTCTTCAAATTCTCATCTATTTGATCTAAAAATAAACAACAGAGTTCATGGCCAAACCGAAGGGGCACAGTAACTTGTAAACACAAACGCTGTCATATAGAGATAAGGTATATTCTTGAATCAAGAGACACACATTACAATATCTACCTCATTGACAATCTCTTTTAAAGTCTCAAAATCCAACCACATGCAATATTAAGTTCACAGTATAACACATATTGAAGGTTGTGATACAGTGAGACAACAGTATGAATTAGTGTATTCCTAGATCAACAAACCAATATCACACCCTATCCCTACTGAATAAGGACAGAGGCATATTTGATTCGGTTCTGACTAACTTAACTTTCCTAATGAAAATAATCAAGTGCTCATGGTTTTCACTCCTGACACTAATTGATTTAAGAATAATAAGAAACTTACCGAAGAGATCAATATAAACTTCTTGTAAATTGTGAACAGAACAAAACTGATTCAATTCATGGTGAATTTTATTATAAATCAAAGTTTTATCATAATCTGCTGTATAGTTTCTTACTGTTTCATATACTATAATAAAAATAGAATAGAGTTTTACACCCTCTGATATAAGTTAACAGAAACAAAATAGAGTTTTACACCCTCTGATATAAGTTAACAGAGATAAAATAGAGTTTTACACCCTCTGATATAAGTTAACAGAAATAAAATAGAGTTCCACACCCTCTGATATAAGTTAACAGAAATAAAATAGAGTTTTACACCCTCTGATATAAGTTAACAGAGATAAAATAGAGTTTTACACCCTCTGATATAAGTTAACAGAAATAAAATAGAGTTTTACACCCTCTGATATAAGTTAACAGAGATAAAATAGAGTTTTACACCCTCTGATATAAGTTAACAAAAATAAAATAGAGTTTTACACCCTCTGATATAAGTTAACAGAAATAAAATAGAGTTTTACACCCTCTGATATAAGTTAACAGAGATAAAATAGAGTTTTACACCCTCTGATATAAGTTAACAAAAATAAAATAGAGTTTTACACCCTCTGATATAAGTTAACAGAAATAAAATAGAGTTTTACACCCTCTGATATAAGTTAACAGAAATAAAATAGAGTTTTACACCCTCTGATATAAGTTAACAAAAATAACATAGAGTTTTACACCTTCTGATATAAGTTAACAAAAATAACATAGAGTTTTACACCCTCTGATATAAGTTAACAGAAATAAAATAGAGTTCCACACCCTCTGATATAAGTCAACAAAAATAAAATAGAGTTCCACACCCTCTGATATAAGTCAACAAAAATAAAATAGAGTTTTACACCCTCTAATATAAGTTAACAGAAATAAAATAGAGTTTTACACCCTCTGATATAAGTTAACAGAAATAAAATAGAGTTTTACACCCTCTGATATAAGTTAACAAAAATAAAATAGAGTTTTACACCCTCTGATATAAGTTAACAGAAATAAAATAGAGTTTTACACCCTCTGATATAAGTTAACAGAAATAAAATAGAGTTTTACACCCTCAGATATAAGTTAACAGAAATAAAATAGAGTTTTACACCCTCTGATATAAGTTAACAGAAATAAAATAGAGTTTTACACCCTCTGATATAAGTTAACAGAAATAAAATAGAGTTCCACACCCTCTAATATAAGTTAACAAAAATAAAATAGAGTTTTACCCCCTTTCGATCCAGTTTAAGATCCTGCAACAAGACAGGCAATACCTCCTTATGATAAAAATTTATTTTTGATTCATTACATTTTCATCCATGAGGTGAATTCTGAATCACAAACCGCTTTGGACGCTATAATCATTCAATAATCTGGAAAAAATAACTTGCTACAAGCAACTAAACAATAAAAAAGATGAAATGCTCACCTATAGCTCTGTCTAATTTATTTACTACTTCAATTCTTTCAAAATAAATTATCACACCACCACTGAAACAATATAATATTATTTTACACTGATTACTAGACATATTTTATACCTTCTTTCATTATTTCTAGCTAAGGAAAATTTTGAATTTTTCTGGCAGCAAAAAACTGTAACAACTTACCTGGTTCCACATGGTACATTTTTAACTTCATCTGTTTGTAGGGTAGTCTGAAAAAAACACATAACTTTTATCATTTTACACAATGAATTATTGGTGGAAATTTTGAAAGATTTGGAAAACCATGTTATTAAGAAGATTTAGTATAAAATCACATCAAATCCAGAAAGAGCTATTTAGCTATTTAAATAAAAAAAGGATAATGATTCAAAAGATTGAAATGAATTGTCTAAAGATGAAAACCGTACCTGTACAGATCTAAATGTTGTTAAAAATGGAAGCATAAAATGGTACCCTGGTTCACTGGTAGATGATAATAAAGCTCCTCCCTGTAATAATAAGATACTTTGTAATACTAAGTTGTTTACTTATACGCTTACCTGGATGCTGATTGTGTTTAGCTAGCAACAAGTTTTGTCTATATCCTGAGGATGGCTTTTGGTTTACTAATTTAGGCAATACTAGTGCATCATTTTGACGATAGTTCTAACTAGTTCCTCTAGACAAAGCTTTATATGTAATGACATTCCAGTTTACAAATAGGCCTACTATAACTATATTGGCACTCACAGATAAAACTATTAAGTGAACTTACCCTGTAGTACACTCCTACATGTCCTGAAAAACACAATAATATGTTTAACAAAATAAGAAAATGTTCAATAAGTTTTCAATCACATTGTTGGATTAATTACGGAACACCCAAAACAAAAAGATACGAGATACAATTTCTCTCTGTGTTTAATTAGAGATATTTAGTGAAACACTGTCTGTCTTTGCAAAAAAACTTGTCCACTTACCTTCCTCTATTTTGTGAATAGAAAAGTTGAGAAATATTGCTAGAGCTACAGCTGAAACAGAAAGTAAAGCTAACGCTGGGTTGGCCATGGTCTACACTACTCAAGCTGATATACCTGGAAAATATACAAAATTTGGAATGGAGTCTTATCTTTGTCAAACATACAAATGTGACTTGAAAAGACTTGACTTGAATAGACTTGACTTGAACCTCTTTGCAGGAACTGTTACGACTTGCCGTGTTGCCCTCAAGTAAGTATGTACAAATACCACTGATACTCAAACTGAAGGATATTGTGAGTATTCACTAACCACTTAAATTATATTCATTAAATATTCATAAACTATCATCGAATAAGGCCTACCTTAGGATTAACAGGTGCCCTATTCAAGCTCAACAAATAATGTCATTTTGGGTTGGGCAATTTGACAAGTAGAAACATTACAAAGTAAGTGTGTCACGACGACTGAGCAATTCGTGTTTTGTCTGGATTGGACCAAGGCATGTGGCGCGTCTAACCAGTAAGAATAGACATAGTTTCATCAGAATATGACAAAAATAAAAAAGATACAGACCTATGGCTATAAAACACGATTCTATTCAACACTACACAATTCTACTTCCGCTGACATTAAGGGGAGGCTATTCACATTGATGTTAGTTAAATTTTCAGGGAAGACAGTAACATAATGTTTATTATCTCCCTTTAGTCTCCCAATTAAAGGTCACCTTCAGATTCCCCCATCTTCCACCTTGATAATTTATGTTATTTCTCACATTTGTTGCAAAAATTGTTGTAAATTAATCAGAAATAAAATGAGGAAAGCTTGCCTTTCACATTAGTCCGTAGGTTTTCAACCACAGGGAGATGTCCCAGGGTAGGGACATTTGCACTTTTATTTGGGGACATATGATGTGTCACAGCTAGTAACATGCTGTGAAAAATAAAAACTTTTCAACTACAATATATACATCTCATATGATGACTAAACTATACACAACCTAAATTAACATTGTCTAGTACTCAGAGTATTATTTCTATCAAACTATGTGAGAACGTGCCTGGTATCCAATCATAGATACACTTTCGATATTTGGGGACATCATTTTCATGATTATTCAATTTGGGGACACATACAAAAACAGGTTGAAAACCACTGCATTAGACAGCTAGTATTGGAATAGCACTGGATATGCCACCAAGAATCTTCACAATAAATGCCCGAAGGTGTTATGAGAGTCAATACTTAGTAACCAGGCCATATTTCTCACCTCTTCTGTTTTAGAGATAAGATAAAGACCAAAACTCATCATAACTTCAACAGCTGGGTAAATGGAATGCATATTTTTATACTCTACTGTTCTGTGCCTTATTAGGATAATAAAATGAAATGAATATTAAGGACTTGCTAATTTGTGTCATATTGGGTAAGGAAAACACAGTCATACAGTTCTAGTCATAATTTACTGTCCCAACAAAATCTCTTCCAGCAGGAGAGGGCCTTAATTATTTCAGAGAGCTTGAAGATTTGGCCTGGATCAGACACAATCATATCATGTCCACCATGGGGAAAAATGTTAAAATTATAGTTTTCTTAAATCAATGTTAGGATAACTCCCCAGACCTTGAGGCCAGCTAGCAGGAATACTAGTCAACTCATCGATAAAATTTCAGTTGAGAACTCGTTGTGACATGTCGTTGACTAGACATCGCTAGCAAGTGTCCATCCCACCTCCTTTCCATGTATCTTTGTCTTGATGATAATAAAAAGTATGTATTTTCAGTATAGAATAGTTTATTGACCATGTTATAATGTAGGAATATACAAAACTTATATTTTACAAACATAAATAATTAATTATATCAACGTTTAGTTTTTAGATACAAAAATAGTTGTTAATTAAATCTTACACAATAGTCAGCAGTATTACAGTAATTTAAATAGCTACTACAGTCTATTTTCAAACTTATTGGAAATTACCATTTTATTGAACATTTTTCTACCATTTTCACATTTTTCCAAATATTATTTAAGAAAATATGAAGACATTGAAGAAAAAACTTATTTATTTCAAAGGAAAATAGTAACGTCATAAAATACTTAGTTTTAGAAGAATTGCAAGACTCACTGTCACAGACGTCTAATTGAAAATTGGAATGGTTCAAATTGGTGCTATCAGTGTCCCTGGTACACCCAGAAAATCTCATGGAAGGGACAATGTCTGCATATGACCCAAAATTTCCCGTAGAGGTTGAGTTGAGTGGTGAGAGATTTAGTAAAAGTATATTTGATTATTATTGCTCTCTCTAATATATTACAATACATTAAAATAATCTTTAAACAAACATATACTGCTTCACTTACTTCTTAAAAAAAATAAATATTACAACACAGCACAGTTATTGCCCTTGACTATACCAAAATATATGACAAATTTGGCATTAATTGGATATTCATATAACTCCTTGTACAGATATAAATATTCATTGGGCCCTATTTCATAAAAACAAGAACAAAGTAAGAAGAACTTTCAATCAGGACACCCTTGATCTGGTGTGTATGGTCAGACTGATGTCGTTCTTGTCACAATGAGAGAGACTTGCCCAAGGAAAGAGTTATTGTCAATGTAATGAAAAAATTTTGTAATTATTGCCCTAGAAATTGTACAAATATCATCAAATGTAGGTATTTGCTTAACTTAAATGCTAAATTTGAATTAAATTGATCTCTAGTTTAAACAGAGTTATTGCTCTTGACAAGTTTTGAATCATTACATATTTTAATATCAATTTTTAACAAACTGGCAGATAAATGTAACTATTCTTTAGTTTCCAGAGAGTTATTGCTCTTGATATATGAATGTCAAATTCAAATATTAGTTAATTAATTAAGGTTCTATTTAGAGTTATTGCCCTTGACAAGTTCTGAATCAATACATACTTTGATTTAACTAATATAACTAATATAACTAATATAGGTTTGATGAACATAGACCTACATATTTGCCATTAAATTAGGGAATTCCATAGTTAAACTGAGTTCTTGCCCTTGACGAATTCCACAAACTCGTATGTATTTGGATATTTTCACAGAATGGAAGACTGAATAGGCAGCAGTCAAATCACTTTTTGGACAGATTAATAAATAAACCAACATTTGATCTCCTTTCAGAGTCAACATCAGCAATCAGCAATCAGCAATCAGCAAACAAGCAAAGGAATGTTATTAGTCTATAAAGTTCATATCTTATTTAATCTTAATTAAGTCATCTTAACTCATAATTCCAGTCAACTCAGCTGTAAATAGGTACTGATAATCTAGGAAAGATCAATACCAAGAGGTTTGGCCAATGACCAGCTGGTAGACAGGATATCTGTTTACCTAAAATATTATCCTTGTAAAATAGGGTTTGTTCTTTCTTTCTCTTTTGTCTGCACTGTCATGCACTAGAATCCATTTGTCAAGGAATGTATAAAATGATATCCCTAACAACCTGGGGAAGATTTTTATTTTACTGGTGGAAGATCTCAGTCATGGAAAACTTTCTTCTTTAAATATAGTTCTGATTCTGAAAAATAAAACAGAGTTGGACATTGAAATATACATCTTATAGATTGATAAAACTAGAGATATATCTTGTACCTTGTCTTTAACACCTGACCTGAATCTTTCTTCTACTCTAAAACCTTGTCACTCAAACTACATCTTAACCTTTTACTTGCACCCTGTTTCATAATAAATCTTTAATTTATGACCTAGGCCAGTGCTTTCATGAGACTATGTTCTCATCACCATCTAAGTCTACATTTCGTGAATTTGTTAGAAATGAAATGTGGGTACCAAAAATATTTCTAGGTAACCCCCCACTGGCACCACCACTTATTAATGTATTCTTCATTTTATATTGTTAAATTATTAATATCCCAAAATATTTTATTAAACTTAATTTCTATTTATATTTGTGATATTTATAATCAATATTTGTAATAAAGCAATTGTCGTGCAATTGAAATATTTAAATTTTATTAGACTTATTTTTTAATTCAATAAAAGCTGTTGACTAAATCATTGAAACAAAATATTGATTAATTAATCTCATTAAATATTCCAAACAGCTATAATTCCACAGGTGTAATTCTACAGGTATAACTCCACAGGTGTAATTCTACAGGTGTAACTCCACAGGTGTAATTCTACAGGTATGATTCTACAGGTGTAATTCTACAGGTATGATTCTACAGCTGTAATTCTACAGGTGTAATTCTACAGGTGTAATTCTACAGGTATGATTCTACAGGTGTAATTCTACAGGTGTAATTCTACAGGTATGATTCTACAGCTGTAATTCTACAGGTATGATTCTACAGGTGTAATTCTACAGGTGTAATTCTTCAGGTGTAATTCTACAGGTATGATTCTACAGGTGTAATTCTACAGGTGTAATTCTACAGGTGTAATTCTACAGGTGTAATTCTACAGGTATGATTCTACAGGTGTAATTCTACAGGTGTAATTCTACAGGTATGATTCTACAGCTGTAATTCTACAGGTATGATTCTACAGCTGTAATTCTACAGGTGTAATTCTACAGGTGTAATTCTACAGGTATGATTCTACAGGTGTAATTCTACAGGTATGATTCTACAGCTGTAATTCTACAGGTGTAATTCTACAGGTATGATTCTACAGGTACAAGATACAAGATTGTACAGTTAGTTAGTTTAACAGACTTTGGTTTAGAATTAGATCAAGTAAGAGAAATTTGGCAAATTGTTGTCAAGTCTTAGTTTTATAACGAGAATTTAACTGACTTTGGTTTCTGAATTAAGACGTGGAAAAGAAGAAAGAAGATTGTCTAAGTTTAATTTCTTCCTCGGATTTTTACAATTTATACAGTGGTCTGGTGCTTTATAAAGGTTACCCTAACGAAGATCCATTTTTCATTCATTTTTGTATATACGTACACGAATTCTAGATACCTCAGAATCACATCTATTCAGAACGGAGTTAGATACCAAACCCTTTGATTATTCTACCTTGACGATTCAACTTTTTAGACATTAGGCCCTCCTCTTTTCAGACTAGCAATAAAAATATCGGAGGTCTGCCAATTTCTTACAAGGAGAACCCACATAATATTTAAACCCTCTTGTTATCCCACCAACCCAGGTCAGGTATTGAAAGAAATCTCTTTGACAGCTCCACCTTGACCTAAATCATTCAACAATTCTAACATTAAGACTTTTAATAATACAGATATCTTGTCAATAAAAACAAGAGACCTGAACATTTGTACTTGATGTACAGTTTAGAGGAATCTATATTCAGTTAATACCCTCACCTAGCCATTCAGAAGAAAGTTAAAAGCAGTCCTTTGTCATTCCCACCTTGACCTAAAGTTAAAGTAAAATTAAGAGTGAGATTAAGGGGTGTGTCTGCAGGTTTTTATTGTACCTGGATATTTTATAGTCATGTCAGTTGGTAATGGGCCGTTATGATTTATACATTAATGTTTTTTTTGGACCTCAGGCTATAGCCAGAAAGGTTTAATGTGACGTAAACGTTTTTTTTAGACAATTAAGCGACAGGATAAATATTATTTTTATTTCTAAAGAGCTACACCATTCATCCATTGTGCTCTACATTATTTTACTTGCTATTTTGTTCTAGATAGAGAATGCTTATTATTTTAGTAGATGTACCCTTTCTTTCCTTATAATTATTAGCATTTTCATAGAAATTTTCATAAAATTGAGCAAATTTGGTTTTTTGCTAAAGCCTTCATGTATTTCACATGATAAGAGTGTAGTATAATAGGCAGAGAGTCCATACTCTTTCTGTAAACACCTATCAATCTTAAATAATTGAAAACAGCTACTATTGTGCAGTCTCTTTGAAACTGCTCCCCTACCTCCTGACACTCGACCCCTTCCACCATTATTAACAATAAACACAACCTACATGTTAGTCTAGTTTCATCATCATCATCATCTATCTCCTTCCGCCCGTCTCTCATCCCCCCCCCCCTAGCCCTTCCCCCACCACTTAGATATAAACAATAAACACAACCTACATGTTAAGTAGCAGGTGATGTTGGTCTACTTTCTCCTGTAGTTTCATCATCATCAGATAAATAACTTTCTAAAAATTCAAACGCTGCTGTCGTTACGTTTTTACCTGAAAATAATAACAAAGGAAAATTGAAAACTGGCAACAGGCATCAACTGATGGCCCCTGACAACTGCCCGAGCTGGCAGCAAATAATGGCAACTGGCAGCAAATTATGGCAACTGACAATAACTGCCCAAACGGGCAGCAATTTTTGGCAACTGGCAGCAACTGCCAGAGCTGGCAGCAAATTATGGCAACTAACAGCAAATGATGGCAACTGACAACAACTGACAAAGCTGGCAGCAAATCATGGCAACTGGCAGCAAAATATGGCAACTGGTAGAAACTTATGGCAACTGACAACATATCATGGCAACTGGCAGCAAATGATGGCAACTGGTATCAAATGATGGCAACTGACAACAAATGGTGCGATGCTACTGTTCGAAGCTGTGTTTTTGTATCATATAGATCATGATTGATGCAAACATTACTTGAAGGTTGGACAGTTATTACAACAATGTTCGGCAACCCTAAAAACTCCGTGCTTGTCTAGATGACGTTATTTTCAATGATGTTGTAATAACATCTGTAATAATTTGACAAGGGACATAACTTAGATTATGATGTGATTATCACCTTATGTAACATTGTCAATCAGGTCGGATTTACTGATGATTAATTAGGGTCAATTTGATTGGCAGCTTCATCAATGATGTGTTGATGTCTAGTTATGATCATATTGACAGTTTATCAATGACCAGGGCCTGTAAGTTTGATCTATAGGGACTAAAGAGTTCTAACTTGACATCCAAAGAGATAAATATACACCTAAGATCGAAAATTTATATTCAAGACTTATTCCGATGCCAACTTGTATTAGTGCACTGGGCAGAAATTGCTAACTCTTCCTCAGCCACCTGGTTTTATCATTTCAAGTTTGAATGATCGATGATAGCTATTATTCTCAATCCATATTTACCTCATCTGCTTGTGGATTTATGGATTGTACGATGTGGGAGATACATATCAGTTTTCTAATAGCGTTAATGAAAAATTAACCATATCTTGGTATCTCTGATAGAGACTCTGAAACTCTGATAATATAATGAATAATAATAATATAGATTTCTTTCCTTTTCATTGAGAAAAATCAATATCTCACCTTTCACATCTAAATCTTCCGATAATTCAGATTTCTCTGACATTAGACTAGGAGATGTAGCTAATAAATTATGCGAGGTCGAAGGTTGAGGTTGTAAAAGGGCGTTATTATTTGAATTATTGTCATGTGACATGGTATCAGGTTCGTTATTGTCTAGTATTTCCGTCACTATTATATTTTCACCAACGTTCGAACGAACCTCCGTATAAATTGTATCTGAATTGTCTACTTCCTGTCTAGCACTATTATTCACCCGTGAGACTTGAACGTCAAGTCCGTCTACCGTATCCTCGACAAGATATCGCGGAGCTCTCACGTTCGGTGTCTCTAACTTCATTGAATTCATTTTATCCAAAATCGGATTGTTGCTTGCTTCAGGGTTTTTATCCGAAACAGCATAAATATCTCCTTGGTATGTGTAATGGGACACAACTGGTTCTTCGATTTTCGCGTCCTTGTCTTGCGGAGTGTTCACATGTTTCTTTTCGTCATCTGTGATATTATTGATGGGGTTCACCTTCGTTGCTTGAAGTTTCATACTATCTGTTGCTAGCCCTGAATCACGTTGGAACGCCTTGTTATCGTATCCCATATGTATCGCATCTGTAGATTTTGACTTTTGACCTTTATTGGAAATATGAATGTCTGCCCGCGCTTCTTGCGATTTCCCTGATTTTGAATTTGAACTGGATCGTGTTTCAGACGATCTGTTAGTGTCTGATCTTCCCCGTTTTTCGTGACGACGGACATCTTGTGTAGCGTCACTTTTACTCCGTAAAATTTTCTTGTCGTTTTTATCTTTCTGTTTCTTCCAGCTAGAAGATTGTTGGTCGATCAATCTCGATCGCGAATGATGCAAATCTGAAAATATAACAAAGTTTTACTAATGATAGGAATCAATTTACACGCATTCTCTAATTTTCACGTTGGAAGAATTCTTGAAGAATGAAGCACATAATGAAAACATTCTTCAGTGCAAATACTCATATCTAAAAACCTGGTAAATATCCATAAAGTTTGTACCCGAATTTTGGTAGACTAATTATATTTGTTTGAACATTTATGCTTTCTGTAACCAAACATATCCCCTTGATTCCTATTTCTCAAAAACTTGCTGCCATTTCAGTACTTCATAAGCATTCTGGTGGAATAGGTAGCGATTAAGATTGTCGTCTGATAGGCGATTTGGTGCCATGGGATTTAACTCTCCTAATATAAGAAAAACTCAGAAACCATGACCAGTACTTCCAAGAGTTGGTCTATTGTTTGCCTTAAACCTTTATCATCTAAAAACAACCAGACTATCCCCAATGAAAACCAGAACTTACCACCATATTGGTATATATCAACGACATTCGGACCGTGTGTAGGGTCGATGTATTCATACACTGGGGATAATTGCTGACTATGGTAAATACGAAGGTTACTCATACTGTTGTTACTCTGGTAAACAGCATGACCTGGAACTAAAAATAGTCACGATTTTTATGAAATTCTCTATTTCTAGTTATACTTTGTGAAGTTTTGATATTAAGTCGTGTTTTTTTGGGGTGTTTTTGATGCCTTCAACAATCAAAGCTCTATGTGGGCTATTACTCTTTATCAAGCATTTTTTGGGCATTTATCATGTGTTTTAATCAATTTTTTTTCTCCACAAATTTGTTCTAAAATTTGACACAAATTGAAATTACAGGTGTAACTTAATGTTGAATGCAAACTGTATTTCCTTATAAGATCTCAGTTCAGTTTCTAGACGTGGCCACCTGGATAAAAATTACACATTTACATATATATATTGTTTAAGACAAGAGAAAACACGTTACAAAGGTAATTCTGAGAGTTGTAAGGTCAAAACTTAACAAGCATAAACCTTGACCTTTTCACATTCGACTTGACCCGAGAGTACACACCCGACCCGATTACATATGTAAATAAATGTAAACATAAACAAGTCGTAAAACAATGAAATTTATCAAAGCCTTTGATGTTGTTGATCATTAACATAAAATTGTTTATTTATGAATGGGCAGTGGTCCTTTGATAATGAATAAATTTGTAAAGTTTCATAGGAAATGTTTTATTTTGTAAAAACTGTTTAACTAAATAATGAGAGATTGGGAGGGGGGAGGGGGATGTTGTTTGTGGTCCATGACAGTTTAGTTTCAAAACATCAACACAAACTGTCACCTATTTTCATGAAAACGTGTAAACATTATTGGCCAAGTAAAAGAAATATCTATTCACATTTTAAGGAGATTTTGAAGAAAAGGAAATTAAATGGAGCCATATATCCTACTTTTCTACTTTTCCACTCCAAATAAGTCTAAGAAATGAATTGGATTTTACATCAGACTGTTCGTAATTGTAGACAAAGCCTTGCTATATTAGGAAAAGAAACATTGTTAATGGATAAAATGATATCATCTGTCAGAAAAATCTTGAGGGTGCGTAAATAATCTAAATACAGGAGGCTTCGTGGACAAAGGGCGGCCATGACTAACTTAAATCATCCCTTGACATCATCTCCTTCATTATTTTAACACTTTTAACACCCCTCAATAGATAATAATAATTATATCCTATTTATAATAAAATATCTTAATGGTGAACACAAAATATATAGTAGAAAGTTTTTATTTATCTGATGTACACAAGTTATAATAGTGGTAAATGTTTGACGAAGTTAGCCTTTTATCTTTTTACTTATAGTGGTTTATATAAGGTGTATCTCCCAACGTTTTCAGTTAATATAAGTCACGGTTGGCAGACGATGAGATATTTTTACGTTTTATGCCCCAATGAGAAAGTTTTTTAATATTTAGACGACTTTTATCTTGACCTATATTTTTGAATTGTTTGGTTTCAATGAAAGATAGGATGACATGTTCTTTCTTTGTAAGAGGATGATGATCATTATCAGACCACTGGTAAATTTCACAAGAACATGACTGATGATTTTTGTGGTTCAATGGCTTAAACTTAAATCCAGCTTTTAAACCAATCAAATTGCTGTATTTCTTTAAATCTGGATTGTATACTTTGTAAAACATTGTACCATTAAAACATTGTACCATTAAAACATTGTACCATTAAAACATTGTACCATTAAAACATGAAATGAGATTAAATTTAGAAGTAGTTTTTATTCAATTACAGATTAATCTGACTCAGTATTTCATTTCAAAATTTTGAAAAGTTTTTCAGCAAATGTTTAAGATATACTTACAAGCTTGCATTCTGTTTTCCATGGGGGTTCGAACACCAGGTGGGTAGGGTCTACCGTAAAAATAAGCTGGTGAGGGACTAGCTGCGTACACTCCGGGGGTACCCATCCATAATCCATTACTCCCTACCTTTGGTAGACGTTCTGCACTCAGATGACTCATAGTCGAGTTCTGACTGTGAGGAACTTTGTCATGATGACGAGAAACTTGGTGAAATTTCTTTTCTTGACGTTTTCGACGATTTCTGGATCTGGAAATATAAAAAATTTTATTTTTATTTAACATTTGTATAAAAGGTTATGAAAGGTATATGTCATTTTATTTGATATGAGGGTCAGCTTATCTGTATATGCTGGAGACTCAAAATAAAAACTTCCCTCATGTAACGTTTTATAACAATCGGGCAGTATTCACTGGCTTTATTTTGAATGAAATGTTGTATCATAGTCCAAATGAAAATTCAAAATTGGATTCTCTCTGAAAACTTGATAACAAAAAAACTATTCCCCTCCACTAATGTTAACAAAAAATAAAATAAATTGACTTAGACATTGTTGAAGGAATTGTATTTTATGAAGATGGAAAGGAGTTAAAAAAACAATTCCAACAAGCAGAAAAAAAATACAATCATTAACATCTTTATAACGTGAAAATTTACTAAACAAATTATTAAACTCCGTAAAAATCATTAGCTAGCTGATTGGTTGTTGACCAAACAAACTAGTAAATATAAACAAATCATCGATCGTGAAGTGTGTTCTACATTCCCTCGTCTAAAGCAAATTATTTTTTCTCTAGCTTGGTAAATTCCGTCAAACACAAAAATTTAAAAAGGAATGAAATGTGCCAAAATCAATAAAGTGAGGTTTAAAAAGAAGAAAAGTTCGGTAAAAAGTCGACGATCGATTTAAAAACTGAAAAGTTAAAAAAAGTGTTGAGTTTGTTGAGATGTCTCATCTTGTAGATATTGGTACTGACTAAATATAAAGGTATACAGTTGTTTAAATTCACCTTCTTCATGTCAGATTGATAATTAATCCTCACTGAAACATGTATTTAAATGATTACATGACTTTCTCAATGAATATTATTCTTCTATTATTGCTTAAATCTGTTTATTTTCTCTTTATTAATGTAACAGAAGATTATTTGATTAGCTTTATACCAACTCTTCATGTTTATAGAGATTGTAATGAAGGAGGTTTCTTAAAACTGTTTTGTGTATCAGAGGCACTGATAGCATCAATATGTAATACCACGTCTGTAGTTCTTGCAATTCAACTAAAAACATGCATTTACATTTTATAACACCACGCAAACACATTAAAATAAAATAAGTAGATATTGTGATAGAGACGTTATCAAATGTTTAGAAAATCTTATTAAAATCTATTTAAATAAACATTTTAATTCAGACATTATAACACCACCCTTTTAATATAAAAATAATGTCCTACTGCTGTATACACTAGTCCTACATAATACTCTATAGAATGAATGATGTTTAATGTCCTACTTTCCTGCACCTGAAGGGCTAATGAAAATGTGCATGTCATGCAGTGTGCAATGAGGGAAAGGATAGCCTATTCTTTTATGATTTCCAACTGTTGAGGAATCTTTAGCGTGCACAGTCTGCAGAAAACAAGGCCTCTGTTCATTGTCCCATCCGAACGATTAAACCAGTCAGCCCCTCATAATAATATTTAGCTAATGCTGTATAAACTAGAATATATTGATCTAGAAGGTGAATTATTACAGGTTGGTATAAGATATAGTATAATAGAGTTAAATAGAAATAATATTGATATATCACTGTTCAATAGAATATAACCTGTCTAGTTACTGACTTGTTCAGTTTATAATAATATTTAATTATGTTCAATTGGTGTGGGGTCTGATTGGGAGAGGAGGTGAGGGGTTGGTCGCTTCAGAATGGTTCTAAGTTTAAACTCCCTCCCCCACCCCCTTTAAGTTAAGATAACTGCTGTTGTCTCAGCCTAACCCACAAACTGCTTCCACCTAACGAGTTTAACACAAACACCTAGATATTTAATTGGGACAATATTCTCAGTAGTCTGTCTGTCTGTTATAAAACCATCAGTCACAGACCGGAAATTGATCATTAGAACTATTATCTAGAGATAGTTTTTTATCGCGTCAATATCAGAGATAATTGTAGAACAGACAGACATCATTCTGTTTTTTACAGAATCCTATGATGTATGTTACAGATTCTAGAAAGATTGAAAGGTATTATTTCAACCTATACTGACATTGGACCTTCAGTCTACCTCACTATTCTACTGCTCTTATTTCTATAAGTACAAAATCTTGATTGTTAGAATCACCATAAAATATTTTGAAAGTCGACTTACCCACATAACATATAGATTATAATACTGACAATAATAACAAATACTATCAGTCCACCGATAGAACCACCAATTATAGCAGCAACTTCTGAATTATCAGCCATCTTGTTTCGAGCCTATTTGACTCTCACGCCTGAAATAAATAATTACAGAAACATAAAATAAATAAAATCATTTTCAATTTCAACCAGAATGCCCTAAAATAATTCTGATATTTTGTTGTCAGAATTAAAACAGAAACATAAAATAATTCTAGATTTCAGCCAGAAGGTGTTCAAATACCTCTGATACATTTTTCGTCAGAGTGAATGAAATGAAATGGAGATCTATATTCTAATATTATGCACCTTTTAAAGGCTACAGAAATGGAGTTTTACATCTTGTATTCCGCATCTGTGTTGACAAATAAGGCCACAAGATAAATAAATTGTTTTATGGGTATTTAGGCTACACTGTTTTCAACACTTTTGATTTAATATCAAATATTTAAATATTTCTGACTATAGATCTATATCTATGATACAATAAGCACTATTTATATTAGATTATTTATGTATATAAGTAACAATATATCTATATACAACAGCTTCTTTAATCTAATAAACCCTCAAATTACAACTAGTGATATTTTGACTAAGTCGTAATATTAAATATTCCGAGACTGTAGAGAGGGAGGTGACAGTTCGGTAAAGAAAAACACAACAAAACACAACAAAACACAACAAAACACAACAAAACCAAACAAAGACTAAAGATCTTTATATAATAGATCAAACTATGACCCATATACTTTAAAATACAATACACATTCTTCTTGTACCAAAATAAACCTTTTTATCTACACAGTTACAATAGATATATAACTCTATAGGGAATCTTTAAACCAGGTGTTGCATCAGTTCAGACCATATCTAAAGGCTTTTTTTCGACATTGATGTCATATGAAGAACCATTTCTATAACGATGGCACAAAAGACATGTGACAGAAAATTGGAATGAAGCAAAAAGAATCCATAAATGACCCCGCTACATAAAAATAGGCAAGAAAACTTATGGACGATCCCCTTTAATAAATTTTCATTAGGACAGATTGTTTGGTTAAACTTTATCTTTAAGAGAGGAAGTTTCAAACCTATAGCACCTAAATACCAGATCACTAACAACTAACTTATCTTGATGTAATAATTTCAACAACAAAATTTAAAGAAAAATTTGAATATCAAGACCACGTAGACACTCAAAAAGCATCCACTGGGGCATAATACAGATTCAAACCTATAGCACCTAATTGCCAACTCACTAACAACCAACTTCTCCCTGTTTGTTTTGTAAAACTTTATCTTTAAGATGAGACAGATTCAAACCTATAGCACCTAATTCCAACTCACTGACAACCAACTTCTCCCTGTTTGTTTTGTAAAACTTTATCTTTAAGATAAGACAGATTCAAACCTATAGCACCTAATTCCAACTCAACTATTCCAATTATAAAACACAATAGCATACTAACCTACGTTACCAGAAACCTAACACCTTCTCCATTCATCTCAAACAATATCAAATATCGACAAGCACATAATAAAATAATCGTTAAACTTCCTAATATAACAGCCAGTTATTACACAATATACCTGCTTAGTCAGATCAATATCTTACAGTTTAACAATATCAACCTGAACCACGTTAGGGCGTAGTCTCATCTCAACTTGACATAATCAAAATAAACTTCACAAATATTGATTAATAACATTATACTTCAAATTAAAAATAAAATTTACATCCTATTATTCTGATTCTTTATGGGCTGATAGAGTTTTACATCCTATTATTCTGATTCATTATGGGCTGATAGAGTTTTACATCCTATTATTCTGATTCATTATGGGCTGACAGAGTTTTACATCCTATTATTCTGATTCATTATGGGCTGACAGAGTTTTACATCCTATTATTCTGATTCTTTATGGGCTGATAGAGTTTTACATCCTATTATTCTGATTCTTTATGGGCTGACAGAGTTTTACATCCTATTATTCTGATTCTTTATGGGCTGATAGAGTTTTACATCCTATTATTCTGATTCTTTATGGGCTGACAGAGTTTTACATCCTATTATTCTGATTCTTTATGGGCTGATAGAGTTTTACATCCTATTATTCTGATTCATTATGGGCTGACAGAGTTTCACATCCTATTATTCTGATTCTTTATGGGCTGACAGAGTTTTACATCCTATTATTCTGATTCTTTATGGGCTGACAGAGTTTTACATCCTATTATTCTGATCATTTATGGGCTGACAGAGTTTTACATCCTATTATTCTGATTCTTTATGGGCTGACAGAGTTTTACATCCTATTATTCTGATTCTTTATGGGCTGACAGAGTTTTACATCCTATTATTCTGATCATTTATGGGCTGACAGAGTTTTACATCCTATTATTCTGATTCTTTATGGGCTGACAGAGTTTTACATCCTATTATTCTGATTCTTTATGGGCTGACAGAGTTTTACATCCTATTATTCTGATTCTTTATGGGCTGACAGAGTTTTACATCCTATTATTCTGATCCTTTATGGTCTGACAGAGTTTTACATCCTATTATTCTGATCTTATTTACATCCTCTGTTTAGATCCTTATTGGGCTTATGAAATAGATTAAATTTCGAGGAAGGGAGGGCTTGATTCTCACAAATGTACAGACCAAGGATAGACCTAAGATAAAATACTGTTCTGCTTATATTTTATTCCTTATAGGGTTTATGAAATAAAATGGAGCTTTATATCCAGGTGTTTTTTAGTCTACGAAGGTAATATCAAAATGAAACAGATATTGACATCCTACATGTGATATCAAATTTGAGATCCTGCTGTTAATTTCTTTGAATTTAGGGGAATTCTCTACATTATTCCTTTTGGGGGCGTTTAAACATTTGACAGACTGAAATGAGCTTTAAATTGAAAATTCTAAAGCTTATGTATTATGTATTATGTATTTAAGAAAGTGGACAGCCACCACAAACCTCTCCAGCTCTGTCAGCCCTGTAGTGAAACTATAAAAACAATATAAAATACTTTAACTATAGCAATTCATCATACAGAATAGTAAATGTCACCATTATCTGACTTAAACTCTCTAGTCAAGAGCGGACAGTTTCATACTGGAGATAAAATATGATTATAATACGCAATGATTAGAGTCCTTAAAAATCTGATGACAATTTAAGTTTCAAACCAACTCTTATACTTTTCCTTTTAGTCCACATAGCTATGAAGTTATAATTCAATCCAAGTTGACTGAGATAGATTTTTATCCGATAATAAGTGTCTATAAAACTCTGATGACCTTATAAAGTTTGGTTTTGAGTCCCCTATTTCACTCTCACGATTAAGTCATAGTGGCTTCCTTTTTTGAGAGTCCACATAGCTATAATTGTGTCATGTCATACACAAGCTAAAGATAATTTATTACTAGTCATACAAGAGTACTTGGGTGAAATAAGAAGTTTGATCACATACATGTGTAATCCTATTATACAGATGCAAAGAAAAGCAGGCCTATCAGAATATCACTACGCCAAGCCCCGAGTGCAATAGCGAACACCTATAGACATGTGTGCAGTTCGACCAGTATATTTCCTAGCCCACCCTTTCAAGACTTGAAACTCTTGATGCTACTGTAAGACTTGATCATAACAGCTCGTCTTTAAGAGAGTTCACATAGATAAAATATATTATTTAATATCAGTGGCTTGAGATATAATTTATTACCAGGAGTCTATAAAAACATTCTTACAATAACTCTATAGCTAGCATGATAATTCTTCTTACTCCCAGAGGGGTATCTAGAAAATGCCTGAGGGGAGGGGGAGGGGCAAAAATGAGAGGCGTCTCCTAAACAAGGCCGGAAAGACCAGAATTTCCTGACCCTCAGAAGCCTATAGATTTCAACTGGTCTGCTCAGATGAATTTTGAGAACTTAGAGGGCATAATTTTCACTTTAAGTAAGGTCTGGGGTAATGAGGGTTAGGAGGGGTGGAGGGGATGACCCACCACCTAAATACACTGACTACACCCATTGTGAAAACTGCAGAGAGTCCACATAGCTGATTCTTAATCTGACATATTTTAGCTCAAAAAATACGACTGTAAGTCCCAGATGTACTTGACTTGACTTAACGGTTGAATATCTGTGGTTGAATGAGTTTATATAAGATATTAAGTATTTAATTCGTTCTGGGGGGTTAATATCTATTCAGTTTATTGTCCTTAATAAAAATTTGTACGCAGATTAACCCCGCTATGTCAGACATCACTTTTATCTTCATTTCTTACATCTACGTGTTTTTTATTTACTTTATAATTTACATAATATATAGAAAAAATTTCTTTTGAGGTAAAAATGTTGTTTGGTATTTTCTGATATAAATATTATTCTGTAATAATACCAACGCTAACAGTGAAATAACTTCAGTGAATTATTTCAACTTTAATCATTTTATTACGTTTATTTATTCAATGATTGACGTTAAAAATTTTTCAAAAATTTTGAAAACTTAAAATAACTCAGAAAGGATATACTCAGGTAAAACATTTGACATGAAACGGATATACTACGAAAAAACCACACACAACACATGATATAAAACAGATGAAAAATAAAAATATCAAATTATCTTGGGGCAGTTGAATTTATAAGAAACCATTAAATAAATTCAAGCCTGTTGTTATCTTTTGACTTTTCAAATTTAGTTTAAAATCATTCTGTATATGAATAATTTTTATCAAACTTAAAGAAATTGCAAAAGGTTTTTTCTAAATTTGTATGTGTATCAGGGACACTGACAGCATCAATTTGTACCATTTTAATTTTTGATGTTTGGTTCCTACAATTCCACAAAAAATAATTGTTTAATGATGTCACTAATCGCAAAATATGCTATGAAAAATTTCGGACCCATGGCAAGAAGCTTGTGAGACTTGACTAACTGTCGGCTTCCAAAAATTTCAAAATGTGTCTAGTAGCAAACATTTGTTTGGTGTCTGAACCTCTATCTATTAGTAAGTGTAGGAGAGCCACACCATCAAAATAAAGAACAAA